TGTATGTATGTATGTATGTATGTATGTATATGTATATGTATATGTATATGTATATGTATATGTATATGTATATGTATATGTATATGTATATGTATATGTATATGTATATGTATATGTATATGTATCTTTGGTTATTCGGGTTTTCTCCCGCATAAGATTGGAAGTATCTAGGCAACGTTTCGATGAAGTCTCATTCATCATCTTCAGGCTTCTGTCTTCAGCTCTGTGCTTCTCAGAGTGATGTGAGCTTGCAGCTGCTTCTTCCTTTTAACTGCTAGTGGGGGTGTGACTTGATTGGGTGGGGGCTTGGCTGTGTTCTGATTGGGTGGGGGTGTGTTCTCATTGGTTGGGGGGTTGGCTATGTTCTGATTGGTTGGGGGGGTTGGCCATGTTCTGATTGGCTGGAGGTGTGTTCTGTTCAGGTGGGGGCTTGGTTGTGCTCAGGTTGGTCTTAGTTACTGGGGGATTTGAGCTGGTGAGCTGTGATCTTGCTGTTTGGCTTCGAGTTCGTGGTCGTGCTGCATCTTCATGGTGGGGGTCAGTTCGCTTCATGTATGGCTCAGAGGGGTTTGAAGTGGGTAGTGATGCAGCTGCAGTGCGGCTTCTGGTCTGTGGTCGTGTCTCATCTTCTGTGTGGGTGTGAGTCTGCTTTTTACGTGGAAGTGTGGTGGTGGCATCTTGTGTGGCCCTCGTGGGTGTGGGTCTGGTGTCATTCATCATGTTAGGCACTCGTCTGTTCATGAGGGCGGGTTTCCAAATGGCTGGTAGGCGGGAGGTGTCATCTCTTTTATTCATGCTGTGTGGGCGTTTTTCTATCTCTATGGCTTCTCTGATTATTCTGTTGTTGAAGTGTTCGGTTTTGGCGATAGTTCTGGTATTTTTAAAGTCAATCTCATGTCCTGTGGCTTTGAGGTGTTGGACCAGGGAAGAGGTCGGTTCTTCTTTTTTGATTGAGTTCTTATGTTCTTCAATGCGTGCACTTATTCTTCTGTTAATTTGTCCAATGTATGTGGTGGGGCAGGCGGTGCAAGGGATTTCGTATACTCCTTGGTTTTCTAACTCGATTTTGTCTAAAGAAGTTGATTTTGCCATTGAAGTTGATTCTGTGACCTGTGGCTTCCATGTGTTGGACTAGTGAGGAAGTGTGTTCCAGCTTTTTAACTGCATTTTTGTGTTCATCCAGGCAGGTGCTTATTCTTCTATTGGTCTGTCCAATGTATGTGGCCGGGCATGATGCACAGGGGACTTCGTATATGCCTTGGTTTTCCAGGTCAATTTTGTCTTTGGGGTTTCTGACGATGGCTGCTATTTTTCTGTCTGTTTTGAAGGCAGTCTTGATGTGGTGTCTGTATAGTATCTTACTAATTTTGTCTGTAGTGCCTCTTATGTAGGGCAGGACAGCTGTTCCATGGGTCTGTTCATCTTCTGGGTCTCTATTATGTCTCAGTGTGTTTTTGTGGATCAAGTTGGTGATTTTGCTTTTGTGGAAGCCGTTGGCTGTCAATATTTTAGTCAGGGTGCATAGTTCAGTCTTAATGTCATAGAAGGTCATAGAATCAACTTCAATGGCACCAAAACCCTAGCCACTATAGAAAATCCCAGCCACAGAATCATCAGAGAAGCCATAGAGATTGAAAAAAGACCAGAAAGCATGAACAGAAGAGATGATTCCACCAGGCTGTCAATCATTTGGAAGCCTGCACTCACAAACAAAAAAATCTCCACACCACAAGCCAGGCAAACACCTGGGCACAAACAGATCCCCCCTGATACCTCCAGCTCAAACACACCCCAACCAGGCACCCAGATGAAACCCAGCTTCCTAACTAATGATAGCCGTCCATTTACCCGAAGCCAAGCTGCACTAAAG